ATGATGGAAAAGACCTTTGGGAGAAGGATAAAATGCCATTTATTTTAGTAATTACACCTACTGCTAAAACCAAAAGAATTGTCTCCTTTTACTTAGCTTGAAATTAATCCTCTGTGTCTCTCTGTGGAAAACATCTTCCAAGAACAATATTTTTACAGTCAGTCTTCCTGGGTCCACAGATTGGATATTTAGGTAAATAATGTGGTTTCCAAGGGAAGATGTATTTCCACACTGTGAAACAGAACTTAGGAACACAATTAATGTAGGCCACCAGAATCACTGGATTTCCCTGAGCTCACAGAATTATACCCTGTATTATGCAATTCTCTTCAACGAACTAAAGAGAGTATAGATGGCTCTCTATCTTTTATACTACGTTTTTTAGAAGTGCTTTTCTCACTGAAAACATTACTTTTTATGACCTTGAATTCTAGTTGTAATAGTGTGAACATTTTCCTCTGCAGTTCTCAAAATCTTTTTATTCTGCATGTCAAGGCATCCAATTTAACATCCTAGATTATAACTAATGGACTAGTTAAAGAAAAAAAAGGTGTCTCATGGAAGAACAGGGCCATAAGCAATTTGACGGCTACATAGTTTTCCCTTTAGTATCTTCAAAAGTACTAAATGAAACTACTATAAAAACCCAAACAAACCAACCTCTGAAACAAAATACCACGGAGAACATGAGGAATAAAGGAAAGCAAAGAAGAGTGATCTACATTAAAATAAATTCTGTTGCATTCCCATAAAACAGGGAAAATGGCAACGTCCATTAATTGCCCTACAGTTGTCCTGAAAATTAAAGCACAATGGATTTTGTCTCAAGGAGCACATGACCTCTCTCAAAGGGGTTGTTTACTCCCTGAAGACAGGAAAAGAGTGACATGGCCAACTGTAAGAATCAGCAGGATTATAAAACTGTAACTCACCTCTTGCTTCATTCAATGGTTAGGAGGGGATTGTAAAGCTTGATAGTAGGTTGTTTTCTCCCTTTCTTGCAGGAGAAAGGAGATAAGGAACTCAAGGCTAGATAATGCAGCAACTGCATGGTCTATCAGATCCTTAGGAAATATGTTTTTAAATAATTAACCAGTTCTGCTGCTAATTCCAACTACCCCAAGAGAAAGTCACAGATATCAGCAAAAGTAGAAGAGCATTTATTGCTCATATGGCTTTTGATACAAACTGGAACAGGTGACATTGCTTTTTATCTGCTGGTTTGCTTCAGCATTTTGCAATATGACAACTGGTCTGCAATAGGGTGCAATGTAAACAAGAATACAAAAACACAGTTGGTTTTGTTCTTTACAAATAGAAGAATCAGATGGCTGGAAAGCCTTTTCTTACTAGCCTGATAAAAATACTTTCCTCATCTTATTTAAAGTTTAGAGCAAATAAAACTATAGATTCTGAACAAGAGAGCTTGAAAAACTGCAGATAGACTTCTGCCCATCTTCTGCTGCTCTGATCTCTCTAGCAGTCCAGAAAGCAGAGGCTGTTTGCATTGGTAATATCATGACTACCAGATACTGTGAAATCTTAACTAGTTTAAGGAAACTAAATAAGCTGCTGCTGAAGTAACATGCTCACCCTGATTACAAGACGCATATAATTTAAAAAAGAAAGTTTTCAAAACAACAAAATAAAAGTAAACACTGCCAAGCATAAAACTAAAGGTCCCATATTTACTGTCAGATTACAGTGCCAGGAATATCATGACTACCAGATACTGTGAAATCTTAACTAGTTTAAGGAAACTAAATAAGCTGCTGCTGAAGTAACATGCTCACCCTGATTACAAGACGCATATAATTTAAAAAAGAAAGTTTTCAAAACAACAAAATAAAAGTAAACACTGCCAAGCATAAAACTAAAGGTCCCATATTTACTGTCAGATTACAGTGCCAGGAATTCAGGTGTAGCTGAGGATAACCCTCCAGAGCAGAGAGAAGGCTGACTAATTTTTTTGTTGTTCAGCATCTTCAGGTGTAGCTGAGGATAATTTCCCCCTCCAGAGAGAAGGCTGACTAATTTTTTTGTTGTTCAGCATCTGTTCCACCCATGTCTTTAAGCAAAGTCAAGTGCTGCAATACTGTATATGCGTTTTGTTCAATTAGTTTATGCAGAGGTGTATAAACAGCAAATTCAGCTGGATGAACTGGGTAATAGAGATATAAATCCACTGTGATTGCAATATGAAGTTCCTTCAGTGTTTACAGTGAAGAGTGATGTATAGAGAAGTCTGACCATGGGCTTGCCAAGCTGGTGAAAAGGACTTTAAACTAAAGTAGCTGGAGAAAGGGAACCTCAATCCATCCAACTCCTACCAGTCTTATTTCTTCTGTAAGTAATGGAGGAGCCACCAAGGAGAGGTGCTCTGCCTGACCTCATTCTCACCAACAAGGAGGGGCTAGTGGGGACTTTGAAACTCAAGGGCATCTGTGCTGCAGTGGCCATGAAATGGTGGAGATCAAAATCCTTAGGGCAACTAAGGAGGGTGCACAGAAACCTCCCTACCCTGGACTGCAGGGGAGCAGACTTTGGCCTCTTCAGAAATCTGCTTGGTAGAGTACCATGGGATAAAGCCCTGGGCAGAAGAGGGGCCCAAGAAAGCTGCTTAAAATCAGGGAAAAATACCAGGAGTCCTGCATGGATGAACAAGGTGCTCCTGGACAAACTCAAACCAAAAAGAAGTCTACAGAGAGTATTTTCATAGTTATAAGCCTTTCACTCATTATTCAACAAAACTTCTGGCGTTGAAACACAAGTTTTATGGTATACCATAAATTAGGCTGCCAAAAAATGGTTGTTAACACCACAGGTTTTTGAAAACATTCAAGTTTCATAAGCATTTAAGCTTTGAACAAAGCAAGTCTGGAACAAAGAGGCCAAAAACAGAGACACACCCCATTTTTATACATTTTGAGGTCACAAGGATGCTCTGTGATCATTTACACTAACCTCCCTATAATACAACCTAAAAAACTGTTCCCAGGAGCTTTGTTTAGAAGAAATCAATTCCTTGCTCTTTCAGAAAGATATCCATGTTTGTTGTAAAGCTGTATCCTCATACAAAGAATTATCCTAAAAAACCCAGCATTTTGACTTTGAATTTCACTTGCTGCAGCTTCCAGTATCGAATTATATTAGCCCTTTATATGCTGGACTGAAAACCCATAACACTGGGCTTTTTCCCAACTACAGGTTTCATATTACTTTGAAATGGCATCTTGACTTTTATTTGGTAAATCAAGTTGAATTACTACTGATTTGTTAGAAAGACAAAAGTAGAACAGAGGAAAATGGGGAAAAAGAAAGAAAGAACCTTCCCATCTACCAGCCCAGCTCATTTTATTACCACAGGAGCATTGTTTTAATCAGAAGAAAAATAAGTGCCACGCTTCAATTCCCAGAAGCCTTTGGAGATTCCCAGCAGAGATTCATGGTCATTTTTTGAGGTGTTTTGAATTGAAAAATATTCGTCTAAAGATGGAGGAAGAGCTAATTCTTTCCAGTTTCATCTTGCACTCCATCTTTGCCCTTGAACAAGAAGCTCAATCAGATAATAAACAACAGAGCGCACGCACGTTTGAAAACTCAGTGTTTGTTTCTATATGTTTGCAACTTTGAAAACACATGTGCAAACCTGTAATACTGTGGTTTACAACTCAGAGCTCCTTATGCTCAAATCTTCTGCAATAAAGAAGTCTGCAAAGTCCTTCCTAAAAATCCAATGTCTTTTACTTCCCTCTCAACTGTTTCCAGTCTTTTCATCAATTCTGTTCCCCATAATTTTATCTTTTTTCATGCTATGCAAATATAGTTCAGACGGTCCTGGCATGCCATGGGCTCACAGATCAACAGAAAGAATTGTGATGAATCTTTCCCTGCTTATTGCATCTCTTATGCTTATTGTGACTTAGAACACAACGTGTGTCCAAGCTGCCAGCAGGGACATTCTTAGGAAATAAGAACGAAACAAATTACACACAGCAAAGACCACTCTGCTAAACTGAAGTACAAACCAACAGGATTTGTAACAAAGAAAACAGTATCTGAATCAGGTTAACACATTTCTCCTTTTTTAGAAAAAGATTTTCACATATTCCTAAATTTTGGCATCAGAATAAAAATGATCAGAAACAGTAAATATATTTATAGTTTGTAGTAAACTACTTAGCATTAACTGAAATTCAGAAAGTCCAAATCCAATAAAAAAGGTGCAGTGTATGATGTCTGGAATTATTTGAGAACAGCCTTCCATTTGTCCATTTCAAAGTTCCTAACACTGGACAGAAGTTTTCAGAATATGCACTTTAGATCATGTGCACTCTATGGACTGCTTGCTGCAGGTCTGTTCAGAGACAGCCAGCCCAATCCATGGCCCTGTTTCCATCTCACAGATTGTTTTAAGAGACAGACAGAAGTATGTGATGCTAATACTACTTTCTATGAAAGAAATTGATGAATGTGAAATTCAGAGTTTTCAACTACTAACTAATAGGAAGATATTGCACCAGTAATGATAAGTGGAAAAGAAAAAGAATAATGCAAATTAAGACAAAAAATGATACTGTATAAAACCCTCTTTAGTATGAGGTAATGCATATAAGGAACTTCCCTGAGCACAGGCTTATAGCCCTGTAGGAACACAAGAAATTGAACAGTTAAATCGAAACAAAGAACATAAATGATAGGTCAGAACTTTATTTATCCGATTTCACATCAGCAACTTCAATTGTGATGTATCAAGTTGACTTGCTAGGAAATTTTTTAACTGTTGCTACTGTTTGAGTAATCCATAGAAAATAACTTTTTGCACTTACCTTGTTATAGACAGAATAGCAGGATTACGTTTTACTTTTCTGATGAAAAGGGTCAAAAGTGTCCCAGCTAAATAAAATCCTGGCAGCTTTGCACAATCATCAATATTCATCTACCTGCTATTTCAAGTAAGCTCACAAAATGGTTAGTTAGAAATGTAAAAACAAAATCACCTGGAGAGCAATCGTGGTATTCTTCGCAGGATATTTCCCCACCAGTCCTTGTTCTTTGCGTTTCTTGAATTTCCTAAAGTAGTCCTGTATCAGGAAGGTGGCATAGAACTTCCCCACGGTTACCTCATCATCTAAATGAACAGACCAGACAGATCTCTCCCAAGTCAGCACATTTATCAATAACCTGTACACTTATATCTGATTTGGGGGGAAATGTGACGGGTGCAATAGGTACTATGCTTTCAGCTTACAACAATGGAACCTGTAACTAGCTTCAAAGCAATGTTTTAGCAAGCAGTTTCATCTCAGTCAGTTAAGTAAACTTATCTAATAAAGATGAAAATACAATACTTTACCAAGTCTCATGTACTTCTAAGGTAAGTTCATGTAAGTTTCTAACAAAACCATAAAAATGTTTGTATATGCACAGAAGCTGAAGCACTGGCTTTACTTACTTGGAATAAATAGATTAAATAAAAGCTACTATGACTTACATACATGGACGTTCATAAGAGTGACTCTATAAAAAAAAGGTTATGCCTACACCTCTTTTTTTGGTCACTGTTGAACCAAATTTGCTTAGTCAGTGTATTGATATACCACTGTTTTGCTTGCTTAAGGACTTGGAGATCTTTACATCCTGCTTCACTCTGCGTATTTTTTATTGGTAACACCTGAGCATCTTCCAGTTTGGACCTTGTGTCCCAGATGCTCATGTTGGAGTGTATCTTCTGCTATCTTATTGTCAGGTATGACAAGACAATTAAGGAAAACATGGAGGTTACAATTGCACAGTCTTCTATGTTTAACATGTGGTCCTTAACCACCTTCTACACAGGTGATGTTGGTAATAGTAAATACAAAACAACACAGCACTTTCCCACATTGTATATTGTGTCAACTCTGCAATGCTATGAAAAGAACTTCTCACCGTTAATTTAGTACAATTCAAATGATAGGCAAACAGCCAGGGCAGTAAAACCTAGGATTTTTACAGAGTCACTGTTGTGAACAAAATCCAAATTTCCAAGTTTCCAAGTCCAAAGGCAGGTGCCTTGTGAGGACAACACAATCCCCTGGTTCACAGTGTATTTAAGAGTGTATGTGCCTGTTTTCTAAGTCCTTTGAATCATTCAGCCAGCCAAGTCTGATCTCTCAGTGAGTGATGCTTGCCAGAAAACCAAGAACAGTTTTCCATTCAAAAACATTGCTTTTGTTCTCACACGCTTTTCTTCCCCCCCTAGAGTAATCTGACATGAAGTTAGCTATTTCCCTTCCTACTGTGTTGTCTAATCTCCCAATGCTTTTCAGAATCTTAAGAGAGCTATTTGCAACAGGGTTGCTAGCTGGCTACTGCCATACATAATGGAGGGCTGGTATGGTTTAAGCATCAAGGTTCTCTCTGCTGCCAGGGCCCACATCCTGATGGGCAGTAAGTTCCTGTCATTCCAGTTGCCCCTGCTGGGCCAGACGTGCTTATCACATCTCAGGCTCTGGGTTACTCTGGACAGTCATTATCTGACTGAACACGAAAATCTAACATGCCCAGGCACATTTTAACACACCTCTGTTAGAAAGTATGGATTCTTTTTTAGGTCTATGTCATTTGTTTTCTCCATATTTTAACTCTCTAATGGGGTTTTAGAATAGATTTGAGTTTGGGGGTTTGTTTTGTTTGGTGGGGTTTTTTTACATATGAACACACTGGATTAAAACTGTGTCCTTGCGTCTTGGTTTTACGTGCCAATGTATCTCACTAGTGATAGAATTTCTAATAGTTTTTCACTTGTAATGACTATTTTTCTAATTTAAATTTGATTGATTTTCTTCTTTTTGTGACTTGCTTTCACATAAGAAAAAATAAGGATGGGGAAATCCAATCCATGGACAATACTGTTTCAACTCATTTTTACCTCTGAGATCAAATTTATCTCAAAATGCAACCTCTACCATTCAAAACCAGCTCCTCTCATTATGATGTCTGAAATGGGCTGTATGCCTGTGAGAAAGCACAACAGGCTTTAACTTCTCTAAAAATGCACCCAGAATGTCTTCTCCCAGCAGTTTACTTGCCTTCAAATGTAACAAAACAAGAAGAATTATAATAATTGCTTCGAAAGATCTTGGTTGGGAGACCAGTCTGTTGCAGGAATTATCTTAGCACATTAAAGAGCCTGCTCTGCCAAACACTGACATCTCCTCAAAGGTCCAAGTCCCCCCAGTTCCTGCTAGGAAAGGGGGAACGAGCAGGAAATAACAGGAACGCCACAGCTCACAAGAAAAGCTCACCATTCTATGGATTCAGTCTCAGCAGTAAAAGTTTCTTGACTCCACAAATCTAGTTTCTAAATCTTTTGTCAATATTTGCTCTGATGTTCACCTGTAATATCCCTTTGCAGCTCTTCAGGAGACTAATGGTGCTTTGTATTAGGATGAGATCTCTTACACAGCATGTAAGCTGAACTTGCCTGCCTTAGTTTAGCTGAACCCGTTGACCTGCAATGTAACCTTGGTCAAACTCCCCAGATAAGCCTTTCCCCGTCCTTTGTACTATTTAAGTATTTGAACAGAACTTTCAAGGAAGTGAGATAGCAAATGGCTCCTAGAAAGGACAAGCACACAGAAGTAACAGACTTGATATAACATACACTGCTATGAGCTGCACTTAGAGCACGTCTCAAGCTAGGCTATGACATCGCACGACTACTGACTGTACCTGAGATGACACCACCTGTGAAATACCAGTCTGCGGAAATGATGGGCCCTCTTTGACCACTTTGGACATGCACCAACTTTTTCTAAGCATATCAGATGAATGCACTACCAGTTTGCTGAATTGTGCACGCCAAAGTCTGTATGTATCAAGAAGATGCGTGTGTATTTCACAGGCACAGTCAGTTGTACTGCAGACACGTGCACACAAGAACTGACGCCTGGCCAAGGGGAGCCATCCTTGACTTTGGTTTTTGAGTAACACACATATAGCCAGATATAGACAGGTATAGGGAGGCAGCTAAGCATAACTGACCACAGAATAGACAAATGGCTAATTACAATTAGTGACAGCAAAAGGAATCATTTTGGTAGGAAGCTTTGGGAAGAGGGCAAAAAGTACTTGGCAGGATTAAATGGGATTGCAGGTGGAGACTGGGGAGTCCAGAGAATACAGGTGACTCTTTTGTGAGTTGTATGTATTTCTCTTACTCTCCAGTCTCTTCCATCTGTCTGACATTTGACTGACATTCTTTGTTTTCGCAAAGCAGTTTCACTTGTCTGTACTGAAATGTGGTGCTATTAACAATCTCATGAAGTTATAGTAGTACTGGAGGAAAATATCATAAACTAGGTTTCTCAATACTTTTAAGTGCAAGTGATTTTAACATACTGAATTTGGATGCTTTGTTGATTTATACTGAAGATAACTTCCTGTCTCCCAGCAGATCATTATTATCAGCTATCACTGGTGTTAATTCAGATACAATTTTCCATTGAGTATGAAACATCAAACCTGATTTCTACAGTGCACTAAGCTATTTCACACTCCTGTGGCATATGAATGTAAAATAGCTGTATTCCTCTTTTTTTCTCGGTGCTTCACAACATTTTCAATTTCCAGGTAAATCATAACAAGGTCTGCAGAGGAACAAACCAAACTGAAATCAAAAATTCATAAAGCTGCAGGACTTCCCAACAATGGGTTGCAGAAGCCATACTGTACCCTATCGATTGAGCAGATCCAGATTTTTCAGCCTTTTAGCTACACTGAAGAGCTACATTTGCAGAATAGATATTAGCAATGAATTTTAGTATAGCTGAAAAGAAATATATAGCTTATATTCAGCAATGAAATGAAGCTGAAGTTAACAGTGAATAACTATGTAAGATTAGTTCTAGGAATGTAATCTGTACAGATTCTTTGTCAGATTGATTGAGGCAGGCAGAGCTCGCTATTCTGAAGCATGCATCTCTATTTCAATTAAAAAATGTAGGGGAATAAAGTTGGCAAGAGGCAACACTAATTCCATGCCACCACCCTAAAACAGAATTGCTTCAGAATATTCGGAAAGACTCATAGTTGAAAGGAACAGAGGCTGCAGAAAAAGCTCAAGCACATAGTTACAACAATAACAAAGCGATTCATCTATGCCATGCAAGCACTTAGGTGTAAGGCTAAAAACAACAGAGTAGAACACAAAAGTTGTTTTAAATGTGCAGTATCAGTTCCCCTTTGGAGAGTCAAATGGGCTTTGATTTTTGCCTTCATCCCCACTATTATCCGGCAGCCACCACACCAATAGCAAGTGGCTCGCTCCAGCCACAAAGCTAATGCTGCTTCCTGGGTCATGCTGAAGAGCAGTGCAGCCAGCATGCTCCTCCTCCCCTGAGACTGAGCATCACCTTCACCAAGGGTCAGCCTCCACCACCGGGCCTGGGGTCTTGAGTCTGATCAGTCTTGAAAGCTGCTGTAACGCTACGAAGGTACAATAAACTACAAGAAATACCAGGTGATTACAATGAAGACTGGATGTCTAGGTAAATATATCTTGGGTGTGGGTGACAGTACAACAGATCCTGCACCTTTAAAACTTGAAAAAGCAAGTTAAAAACAGTCACCTAAACCTACACTACAGCATATTAATAGAAATGTATATATTGAAAAAGGCTAAATATATATATCAGAATATATATATTTACAAAGAGAGATATTGACATGTCATTTTACAGCACGTAGGAACAGCTAATACACGTGCCTGTAGTTCTCACAGATGTTTGGTGTCATTAGAATTTAGATATCTCTTTACATGAGCCATATTCATAACAGTCATACTGGCATAAATCTGAACCATTTCCATTATCCTTTGACTATGGAATGGCTCTGGTTTAAACCAGTGTAACCAAGATAATTTAGCCTCTCGTTTTAATTATTTAACAGAAAAAATTCTTAGGCTGGCAATTAATTTTGGTTTTGTTTTCTCCCAGAAGTATTCAACATATACAAGCAAATAAGCTATAATGTAGCATAGTACAAAACATGTTGTTTTGCTCCATGCATTGAAATCAAACTAGTTTATATTGCTGAATGATTTGAAATCAAGACTAGATTTAGGCTTAATAACGTGGAGTTTTTCAAGCAAGAAAATAAGCATAATATTTTCCTCTCTCTCCTTTTGATCTAAAAAAGTTTCGCTTATCAGTCCTATATGTATTATCTAGTGTAATAGGATATAACTATAACAATATTCATTTTGCTACTGTTTGTTGTCCTTTAATGACATTCTAATTGCTAAATTTAATAATTTTATGTCTTTGGTTCCTAACAATCTAGAAAGACCAACATGCACAGAGAACAGCACATCGCAGTTTATCGCACTGACCGCCAGCTGGAGGGACAACTTGGTCAAGTAATTTCATGCTTGTTTTCTTCCATATTTTCTTTATAACTGCTCTAAGTTCTTCATTTGCTTGTTCTAGGTTACCTAGAATGAAACACAAAAATAGAGGATGGCAATTATGCTTCAACCAGCTGCAATGAATGATCCTTTGGATATTAATTAGCTGTTTATAACTGAAGATCTGATAGGGACTCTTTGCAGCAAGCCTAAGATACGTGAGGTAGCAGATAACAATACCACAACAACTAAAAAGAACAAAAGGCATAAGACAGTGAGGTCCTGGGGCTTTCAAATCAGTCTCTGGAGCACTGCAGATGTCACAACTCTGATTTACTGATCTTGGCCTCACTCTGCCACTGCTTCCACTTAAATTGTCCAGGAAGTGATGACTTGCTCTTTACAAGCCAATTCTTTCTTGATCCGAAGATAAGCCTTTATTTGTTTAATCACAGTAATTACTTTGTTGTACAGGCTTGAAAGTTCAGGCAACTGAGTAGTTTTCAGGTCTTGTAGTGCTCACCTAAACCACAGCAATGCTTGAAAGGACTTAATCTAATCAGTTTCTTATTGCCGGTGGAACTCAAAGTCTGCTGAGAATAGCAGAAGATATGGAACAGAAAGTAGTAAAAGATGGGGGGGGGAGGAAAAAACAAGTATGAAAATAGAAAATTCTTTGAAATATAACTATTTCAAAAAACTTTACCCTCTGATGCAAATGACAGAAATCCAGTCAACCCAGCCAAAACTGGCCTTGACCAGACTAGGGATGTTGTTTTCAAGTGTGCAAAAGTTGCACTTGCACCAGTGTGGGATTCAAGGCACCAAACTAAAGGGTAGAAAGGAAGGAACACCTTGGTTGAGCAGGATGGGGAACTCATACATTCTCTGCAGTAGAACTCCTGTTATGCCACTGCTGCATGTTTTTATCTGATCAGATGCAAGCGTAGGATGATTTCTGAGGTACCTTGGGCTCTGGTCTTATGATACCTTTCCTTTCATCTTCTAGCAAACCATTCCTAGCAACAGTGAGTACAACCCATGATCCAAAAGCAAACCAAATCCAGCGAGACCAAGGCAGCTTTCCTCATGTCCAACAAAATGACTAAATTGCAGCTTTTCCTCGTTGTACCTTCTGACAAATGCAGTAAAGTATTTCCAGTGAAGGACCTTACCTTCTGTTTTTATCTTTAGAGCAGTCCTAACCAAAGCAAACAAAGTTGCATTGAACATGACGGTTCCATCACTGTTTAGTGGCATATTCATGGCTACTAACCTCTGTAAATGAGAAAAGGAAAACAAATTTTGACACAGCTTTGCTTGACAAGAAACTCTTGTAATGATAATTTTTGAAACACTGATGTATCCAAAGAATAATAATACTGAGAGGCACAAAAATTATATAAGTGCTTCAAAAAAAGTTGAGTCTTCCATCCTAGCTGTGTATAAAAAACAGCCAATATTGATTCTTTATGATATTAATCACATAGAAAAGCTAAAACTGTCCAGTAGTTTTCATGAGCTATTTATTGAGCTAATTTTCAAACACTGAAGCCCACTTCTTGACATAAGTCACATGGTGCAAGTATTAAGGACAAAAGCAGTTACTTAAGAGCATAAACTCCAGTTGCAATCATGTTCCCAGTTTCCATGGGGTTCACATAATGCTCCATAAAGAACCACAGCACCAGGTCTGCCTTGCATAAGCCAGCTCATTTCTCAGGTAACTCTTCAGTGATGCCATACATCTCTTGTGCCATCTACACCAAAAAGGGGCTTTTCTCTTTGGCTAAGTCCTTCTCTGCATTACTGTTCATCTTTTAGAGCAGCATTGCTGTGACCCTGTCTAACAAAAGAATGCTATTCAATCTATCAAAATCTTTTTCTAATGTCTCGCTTGGATTTTCTTCTATTCTAATATAAAAGCATCACTCAATGGAGAATTGATCTTAACATATAGATAGATACAGACTTGTTGTAAGTGTGCCTTGTGACACTCCCTTCCAACCCAGTGGTTTATATGTCAACTTACCTATTTATAAAACAGATATAGAAAAAATCCAAATGACAGTAACAATCCTTTGTTGTAACAATCCTTGTATTAAAAAGCTTGATCTCATTATTATTATTCTAAAACCACAATATCCATAGTTCTGAAGTCCTCAAATAACATAATTACTCATCTGCTTTGTGCTGCTTTTCAATTTTTATATTAAAATGCAATTAATTCTCATTGAATTTACACATTTTGCCTAAGAGATTCTATATAATTTTAAATCCCCTTTGATTTTCTGTCTTCTCACTTACTGCTACATACTGCATTACAAACCATTATTCACTTCAGCTTAGTTTATCATCTTGCAGTCCCCTCCCTACAATCTCATTTCTGTGTTCCATGTGCAGCAAACCTCTCATGAATGCAACTGTAAAAGTACTGTACCAAAACTTAATTGTCAGTTAAAGCAAACTACCAGTGTCTTCTCCTGGGACTGAAGAGAAACCAGAAATGTCACTGGGTTGAAGCAGTCTCACATGTGACACAGTCAGCAGAAATGCTGGGATGAGGTAGTTCATATATGTGACAGTAAGGGACTGATGACAGACATACAGACCTGATTCCTCCCATTTTGATCCTCTGTGAAGAGCTGTACACTGATGGTAACTAGGTATAGGAGTACACTGACAGAAAATACCCTGATTTTGCTGGTTTAACCCAAGACTTAAAAAACCCAGGAAAATTTGAGAGTGAAGGAGATCTTGTGAAAAAGACAGGATTACAGTCTTGGTACACGACAACTATGGGGCAGAATTGCATGAATGAATGAACTGTGAGAGAAACACAGGCAGAAAATGAGGTAACACCTACCTTGCAGGCCACTCGGTGAGGGCATAACTTGCCAAAACCAAGCGGTGGCTGAATGCGCCGCAGTAACGTAACCACATCAAGGTGCTTTATCCTTCCCCTAGAACCAACACACATCAGTTACCAAACATCCACTCCCAGAAACTATGCTATGTTCTGCTTTTATTGTTTTTATCAAATAAATCATATCAGAGAAATGATGTAACTTACTTTGCTTCAGGGTCATATTCTGACCATATCCTTTTGAATTCATCCAAATGATGAGGACCCAGAATAGACCAGTCACGTGTCAAATAATCAAAATTATCCATAATGACAGCCACAAATAAGTTTATAATCTAAAAAAAAAAATAATTAGAACAATCTGTCTTGATTATTTTACAAAATGATGATTTTTGGCAAATATTATCAAATATTACAGAAAATAGTTAACTAACTGGAACTCTATCAAGTAATGACATGACAAGAATCTGATTCTATTTTAGAGTGCTCAGTTTTTGCCATAGGCTGCAACGTGGTTTTGTTTCTCTTCCTTGATTTGCAAGATCCCACTACATCAAGTTGAAGAATGGATCCAATCACATATTTGACACTGTGTAATCTCAGAAAATGACTTCTGTATGAATAGGATTCAATTTCATGACAATAAGACTTCTGCACACATTTTGTTAACACAGAAGGTGATACAGAGCAGAACCTGTGTGTTTATATTAGTTCACAGAATTCTGTTGGACCACTCTCCTTTTGCAAGGAGATCAGTACTGTGAATAGAACAAAGCAACCAGCTTAGACCAGACACCTGCAATGAGGAAAAACTTATTTCAGTGATTACTTCAGAGCAAATAATCCATTATGCTATGGAATAGGGTGGAACATTATTGTTCACCTCTCATGTGCCACAGTTTGATCACACTTGTTGAGATACAAATCCAAATTCCGTTAAGTTTATATAATACAAGTAGCATTACTAGCAAGCCAAAAGAATTGCAGCTTTATTAATGAATATTTAATTATGCTATTAGTTATGCATGAAATAATAGCTATGAAAATACTGTTAACTTAGCTTTCAAACATGCAGCTAACTACACACATGCAGTCAGAACAAAATCTTGCACATGGGAATTTAGAATCATAGTTTGAGTTGGAAAGGACCTTTAAAGTCATGTAGTGCAACCCCCCTGCAATGAGCAGGGTTCTTCAACCAGATCAGGTTGCTTAGAGCTCCATACAACCTAAACTTGAATATTTCCAGGGATGGGAGGCATCTATCACCTCTCTGGGCAACCTGTTCCAGTGTTTCACCACCCTCACTGTAAAAATTGGTATAAGATACAGAATTTAAGACTCTGTATGGAAAAATACAGCCTAGCCAAAATATTTTGGATATGGGACTTTAAATCATTCTCTCAACTCAGTACTCTTAATTCAGAAGAAAGGCAAAATGCCAAAGCTCATTGCTGTTAATAAGCACAAATTAAACTCACCAAAAATGCACAGAGCATGTAAAAACTGATAAAATAAATGATGGCAAAATTGCTTCCACATGTGTATTCTTCCCCTGGATTATAATCAGATTCTGGATCACAGCGTTTTCCAGGCAAACATGCCAGCATGATTTCCTGCCAGGCTTCTCCAGTTGCACACCTTTATAAGATCACAAAGACAAATTAAGCATTATTTGATCAAAACGGATTAAAGACATATTAATTTGTTAAGTTCTGACAAAATGCTGGGGCCACAAATGTGAAGGCAGATCGTGAACATTTCAGAGCAAGAACTAATTAAAAAAACAGGAAATTTTAGAACTGAGCAGCACAGATCTGACATTGCAGACATTTTCCAATATCCATAAAGGTTTGTATGTAAACATTTGAACCCCAAACTGTGATTTACAGGTCAAATGCTTATTGTGCTGGAGCTGCTGTGTACAAACATGGTGTTGTGTGTGATACACTATAATAAAAGTTGGAAGTATCTGTTTGTAAAAGATGAGCTGCCTTTTCCTCAGAGTGGTTGAAGAAATGCTTGTCTACTTCCTACTGTTGCACTTTTGGCATAGTTGCACAAAGCCTGTGTACAGACACAGGCTTTGTGTTGCCAATTTTTTTAAAAGACAACTACATATTTATGACATTTGTGCCTGTACCTGCTTTCAAAGGTGAAAGTCTTTACACACATAAAGTGACTTAGATCTTGCTGTGTGATGCCCTTGGTCTCAGATAAGGAATGATCTGCCATTTCCCAATACTCCCACAGTGGTATCAGGGCTGATTTGTTTGGATGTGTCTGGGAGAATTACTGCACAGACAAGGTGTTTCACAATACCAGTAGTGAGTTTAGGTCTGTATCACCTGATTAGAACCCTGCTGTGCCAGTGGACACAGCCTACGGCCACAGTAGTATGTGTTTGTTAAGCTGAATTGATTCTCACTTGCAAACACATGTTGAACATTTTTCACAGATCAGTGAAATGGGCTGCATTAAGAGTTAAGGTTTACTCACCTGAAGAGAAGAAGCACAGCTTGGGGGAAAGTCTGAAAATTGTTGTTTCTGTTTATTTGATTGTTGTCCCTCATGGCCACTTTTCCAAATACCTACAATAAAGTGGGATTTTGACTTTCATTCCAGTATCTGTGCTGTCAGAGGCTGTAAGCCTTGCAGTCTAAACTTGCTTCAGGATGTCTGAAAACCACTTTCACAAATACACTTTCATTACACTTTAGATTTTTCCTGATGGTGATATAAAAGCAGTAAATTTATCACATATACAAGATAACTCTTAATCATTTATTCTGGCATCAATAAACCCTCATAATATTAATAAATATTCCTGTATTTCAGGTGAGAAAATATTGTTTTTAACTAGCACCTAGAGTCCTCTATTGACAGTACAGCTCGACTGCACTAAATACTGTCCACGCTCAAAGTAAGAAATAATTGCTGCCCTGAAAACCTTGAATCTAAACAGAGAAAAAGAGATGGAAACCAAAGCACAGTGTCTGAGTATCCTGCCTCAGGCAGAGATGGAAATGAGTTTAGTTCTTCGAAACTGCATTGCAATTCCCTGGCTACTAGACCATTCCTTTTCTCCAATGTAATACATTTATGTCTTCTTACAATACAGTGAAGGCTGTGACTTAATTTAGAGTGATTAACACCATTATCCTCTCTATACATGCTTCTGGACTGCAAGAACATTAAGATGCTTTGGGATAAATGATGAAGAGAAAGAACCAGGAAGCAAAAAAACTCTCCATATCAAATTTCCTCTCATCCCATTTAATTAGGTCCTTCCTTAGTGCTGACTTGAAGAACATTATTTCTTTTGTTCTCAAAGTTGTAATCTGTACAGTCTTATGGAACTCAGAGCTATTCTAAAGCCCTGTGATAGCAAATCTGGTGCATAAGGAGGAGAGGGGAGGGGAAAAAAAAAAAAAGAAGAGAAAAGGAAAAAAATCCCATCCTCCCCCTGGAAACAGCTCAGTCATGTGAATTTCAGGTACAGTTTCCTGACAGGTTTCTCCTGTCTAGCTATCTCCAGTATTAAGACTGGAGAACCCATTCTGCCCTCCCAGCACTACTGCTGGAGGGAGCACTGGCACCTTCACTCCAACAGCACATTTTTTCATTTTACATTACCAAAATCCTTTCTTTCTTGTACATATATCCTCCTTTTGATTAACCATGGGCTCAGCTGTACCTAAATCTTTAGCTTTTCCTGATGTTGCTCTTTTCATATGGAAAAGACTTTAAAAAAAAAAAGAAAAAGCTGGAGCTTCAATGTCTGACTCCCAAGTCAGACATTAAAAGAAAGCTATGCATTCTTTCATACATTCATGCATAGGAATAAACTCCACAGTACACGGAAGAGGAGTGGCTCCTTTTGGCAAACCAGGACACTGTAAACTCAAACCATGTTCTGCTCTTGCTTTTTTTTGGATTTTCTGACCACCAAAATCATAGCCAAAAAAGGATTTTTACATTGCCCTGAAAGCTCTGCCTTCTATGTAGCACCACTGCCAAAGGAATGTTTCAATAAGCACCTTAGCAGATAAGTGTCAGACAAGACTGTATTGCTGTTTAATGCTAAAATATTTCTAGACTTACCTGCATTCCAATGACAGCATAGATGAAGAACAGCATGGCTATCAGAAGGGCAACATAAGGCAGAGCCTAGAAATGGGACAAGTGCATTGTCTTAATAATTTCACACCCTAACTTCAATTTACAAAAATTATTTCTCTGTACAATACAGATATTTTCAAGGTTTTTCTTCCCATACAAGTGCTTAAAATGTTATTACCCATCACTCTTAATACTCTGCTGCACACAATGAACACAAGGTTCATTGTATTTTATGCTATTTCTGCCAGCAATATGGGGGAAAAAATCACCTTTAGTATTTTTATTTTCATTACTGATTCTGACAACACGAAGATACTTCTACACAGTTACAGAGTTTTATTAACTTCACACTCATCAGTTTTCAGGAGCAATGATTCAAGAATCTGTTACACTAATGAAATGAGTTTTGTATAACAAATGGATTAAATTCTTCTTTTCTAGTCATCTAATAAAACGTGTAGGAATGTGAGACCTATGTATGTCAAAGCTAGACTATCAACTGCTTTTAAATATACCAAATATTCTTTAGGAAGAAACCTGGAAGTCATGCAGTAACAGCTAATATGAAATGACAAAGAGTGACCCTTGGACTCACTGAAGTAACTGATGAAATTTTATTTGGCATTAGTATGCAAATATATTTAAATATCTTATTGAGAGCATCTATTTTTTTTTTGCACTCTACAGGGTATTGATCCATAGTGTATAACTGAATTTTGCTAACCTGGAATGATTTGATAAATGTCCACAGTAAAGTTCTGATTCCTTCTCCTCTGCTAAGCAGCTTCACCAACCTCATCACCCGGAAGAGACGGAAAAATGTGATGGAGATCCTAGCGCTGTCTTCAGAGTTCTGAAGAGCATCATGGAGAAGTCAAACCAAATACAAACTCAAACATGCAACACTTCCAGAAAAACAACATAAAATGCAAAGGTGGAAGAGGTAAGTTTTGAAAATGTATCTTGAGGGCCTGTTCACCTTGATAACCATGACATGAAAGGAAAAATTACATGCTGAAAACACAGGACCTGTAGAAATGCTTCACACATCACATGCATTTCCAAGTTTTCTGGTTTGTTAATAGGATCATATTGGGTTTGTTTGTAGTAGACTTCAATAGAACATTGACAATGAATGCAAACCACTGCATAACACCTTTGTAGTAAGACAGTTATGAAAAATACAGAAAAAACTGGTGGAAAAAAAGACATGGTAAAAAGAATAAACTCAAGTAGAGGTAAAACCACTGGGGTCAGTTTACTGATCTTACCCCAGACTCATCAGTTGTGACTGTTTCAGTTGGCTTTGGCTTTAAGAAATTAAGAACATTAAATATTAAAATCAAATAAAAGATAAAAAAAAATCAGTTTAACCATGAACAAAATGAAGAACACTTTTTATTTTTAAATGCAAACGAACATCTTTCAACTCAATGTATATCCTGAACAAAACATTAACATCCTTCTTAAAACCATCCTCTTAGCATTTCATGTTGGCTGACTCATGCTAAAATCTGCTACTCTACAACAGGCTTAAAAGACTCAATGGAAAGTAAATACAAAATAAAATATCAGCTCCTATGCAAGTCAAATAAAATCAGTCATCAGTTTACACAGGTTGTATGAATCACAGCAGTAAGCTCAACTAAAACTCCAGCACAAAGCTTTGGGGTCAAACTAGTCTTTTCAAGTCCCTTTTCTGCTGTGCTCTTTTTGAAGATCAATTACCCCATCACTGGAATCTAACCATAGTCAAGTAATTGTGTTTTAGATCACATCAGGAGCTCTCTTACAGCAAAGTTAATTCACCTGTGTTAGCTCAGTAATGGACACTGGGTGTTGCAGTGCTTAACAGCGACAGATTTTCATTCTGCCAAAGTGACAGACAAACATTTTTAGCACAATGCCATGAAGGCTAACCCTTCTACACTGGTGCAAATGAGAAGGCAATACCTGTACTCTCTCTCACCATTTACAATGTACTCATATACCTGAGCTGATGTAACAGAATCAGGCATGGAGAAAGGGTTTCGGGATTTGATTGACCCTTTTGGAACAGATTTGTGCAACTTTTGGCAGCTACAGGGAGAAGAGAGGCACACACCAACTTCTTTTTCACAGAGCCAAACTCTGTGTCCTGTTAAGAACAATCTTCTCACTTTCCTCTTTTTAATCTCTCTGCCTGACTTTGGAGAAACTGCCCTGAAAGCCTAAATGGTCAGACACTTTGCACAACAGCTAGCCAAGCTTAAAGGACCAACATTCTATAGTTGTGCACTGATATTTGCAGCAGCTTCTTCCAAAATTGAATAGAAGCACCATTAAAAACATTTATAGGAATAGAACAAATGGGAATCTGAATGTTAGATCCAAGTGATGGGTCTTACCCTCTTGCCTAAAATATCCTCCTTTTAAAGGGCCACCTTTCAACAATTCCTGGTACACACAGTGGCAATGAACATGACACCTCCTCAGTGCTGCCTCTAACACACTGTGGATGCATCAGTCACACTCAACACCACAATTCACTGACTAAAATCTCAAGTGTTGCTGTTACCCGAGATAAAACTTGAGGAGAAGGAAGGGAAAAGACAGGAGTTGATTTGGTTGAAAATGTACTAGACAAACATACAGTGGTAAAAAAAGTAATAAGAGGTAGTACTTTGTTAAAATCGGATCATTCTTAAAATACTAATTGTTTTTGCTATTACATATTTGCAAAATATATATAATTTAAAGGTATCAGAAAGGGAAAATGAGGTAAAAACAACTGTTCAGCTACATACAATCTACATATGGATACATTCCTGTCCTGCCAGGAAATCACTACATTCTGAAACAGAGTTTTAAAACTGTTTAAGGGATTATTACTAAATTTATGCATTAAAATAACCAAATATTAGATCTCCTCACTAAACTTCAGTAAGCAGAGTATTTGTAAAATCAGCTGTAGCATCTAAACTTTCTAAGCACTTAAATACAATACACAGAAAATATGCTGCCAATGAAAGACAATTGCTTCATTAGAAATTCCCTGCACATTTCAACAATTTGAAATAAAACCTTCAAAACATAATTAAGGAGAAATTAATTATCACAAACATCATAAATGTCAAAACATCACAAACCATGGAAGCAATCTTGCAAAGCTGCCTGCCTACATCAATCCCAAACCTGCACTAGTGCACACAGACCCACACTGCTATTGGGTTTTTAGTACAGGAAAAAACATCTTTTTAACCTGAAATTTTAAAGAAAAACAGTTTCACTACTCCTTCTGCAGATGAAGTCTGGTGACTGACTCATGTTGGTACTGTCTTAAATAGTGAGCAAATTAATTATCATTCAATATTTTGTATTATCAAAAACTGAACAAAGTATTTGATACAGTATCAGCACAAACTGACACTAAAAAATGAAGCAAGATGCTGAGTTTGGCATTTGGGAGTTTTTTTCTGTGAGCTTCTATAGGGGAAGTATTGGGCCCCAAATAAACTAGGTACAGTATTAGGATAGCAATATGTAATGGGATAGATTATAACAGAAAAAAGGATACTTTGGTCCTACATATTTAATCACTTTTCCAAAAGAAAAATAACGAACATGCATTATGACCTGGTTATGAAAAAAAACCACTCACAAAAGGAGAAGTCAATTAAAAAGAGGTGTTAAATTTATATAACTATTTTAATAATTACTTAATTTTCACTTTTGAAAATAGAGAGATCAGATTACCCAAACTACGTGAACAGTTCTACTGCAGGTACTCAGAATGGGAAGTGTAAAATCCTTCAAATTCTTTTTTGAAGGTCACTGAGTGCATTTGAGTATGAACACTAGGGTATGGACAGGACTGCATAATGCACACTCCTCTCACAAATCTCTCTCTCTCAGCTTCTTTGGTCTAAGCAGTCCTCATTGCCTGTTTCTGATGGCTGATCTGATGCTTCTGGGAAGTGTTAGGATGTCATATGCAAGAGATTACAAATTACAGACACTGGAAAGCTCAGGTCAGTAATGAAAAACACTCTGCTCACAAAAAGTAAACTGTACAATAATACCAAGGTGGTGAGAGAGGCTAGAAATAAACTGTGAACTCCTGGCACCAGAGGAGTTTGTTCTACTGGAGCTGAAAAGATTCAACTTTTGCCCATCACTGGCCAAGTGTTTTGAGTTTGACATTTGAAAGTGAGTGAATCTAATTTTTTACCCTTTGGCATTCCCCTCTGATAATCCAGCAGCTTGGTTTATATTATTAGTGCTAATTATTATGAAGCTAACAAAATGATATACCACAAAGAAAACATTATTCATCCTTATTTATAAAGGAAATGCTCATCTGGGAGACAAACATCACTGGCCAAGTGTTTTGAGTTTGACATTTGAAAGTGAGTGAATCTAATTTTTTACCCTTTGGCATTCCCCTCTGATAATCCAGCAGCTTGGTTTATATTATTAGTGCTAATTATTATGAAGCTAACAAAATGATATACCACAAAGAAAACATTATTCATCCTTATTTATAAAGGAAATGCTCATCTGGGAGACAAAGTTAGTTTTATGTGTGTCTGCAGGAAGCAATGCTCAGATCTGGGAAACTTAAGATAAAGATAACACAATCTTCAGCAACAATAACAGACATATTGACAAAAACAGAACATCTGCTTCCTACAGATAAGGAAAAACATACACTACCCAAACACACAACCTCATGTGCAACACTGGTAATGCTACGTGCACGGGCACACGTAAGTAGGTCACACATAATGCATATGTAGGAAAGTATTAGAATAGAATGGAAACTGAGCTGGGGGCAGGCTGAGCAGTCTGAGTCTTTCTGGATGATGTCAACTGACAAGAATGCAAATGGAAATGTTTCCTGCAGTCACACAATCTACCTGCAGCCTCCTCTTTCCCCTCACCTTCCACAGTGCTATTCAGCCTCAAACACTTTGGGACTGGCTGGTCATTATGATGATTTTTAGGTCACCTGTGGGACTGTGTGATTCCCAAGATGACAGATGTGCTTCTGAGATCACTGCTAGAAGTTTGGCAATGGCCACAGCTGGAATAAATGAAGAGTTTTTGCATTCCTTGCTTGGCTACAAGACACACTGCAATGAGGTGAATGAGGACAGAGACTTCATTATTCCCCTTTTCTGTCAGCCATGTGCCAGCTACACTAAGAGAATAGGTCAGCAAAGTACCTCATAACTGTATAATTTTGTATCTAATTCTTAAATACTTCAAATAGGCAGCAATATATGTGTTTTCTTTTTTTGCTTATCAGAGTGCAACAGAGCAGCTTTCTTCCCTAAAAAATCCCAACCCTCAAAAAAGAATAACCAACGACCAACCTAAATTTCTGACTCACTAATTGAAATGTTTGCAACGTGCTACCAATCTTGGTCAAGTACTAATGCTGCTTGTGAAAAATGTAGCACACCTCCTAAACAGGAACTCCTCACTACACTCTTAATATTGCAACAAATGTCCAAAATAAACATCCTGACTATAAAAAACTTCAGTGTCAAAACCGTGAACAGTGTGAAACAAATTGCATCATGCATTGGAAGCAAATCTGTGCTTAAGAAAAAAATACACAGTGAAAACCAGTGGATATTAGTATATGGTGTTGATCAAATGCTTCTTTTTTACAGATTGTGCCAAAGGGTGTGAGATTATGCCAAAACAAATGAACACATAATGATGATGTTATCATCATTGCACATATAGAAGGAAGCATCTGAATGACAAACACATATGGTGACATCAGCATATATAGGAAAACATTCAGGTTGCCAAAATATCGCCAGAAATGTGTACTGTATGTGTGTCCATGTGCCTCTACACAACCAATTTGTTCAGAGAATGATTACTGGAATTCAGGTGTGTGAGCAAGTAATTTTCTTCATAGTCTCATCAGTGCTCTCTACATTCCCTGTTCAACATGAACCAAACACCCATAAACACAATCCAATACAAATCTTGAGTCAACATGAAGAACACAAGAGAAGACTAAAAAAAGTACCTTTTACCTTGTAAAAGATGTATTTAAAACTCTAAGTTCATAACTAATATGTTGATGGCATAGGGTATTAGGTCATTTATGCAATAACCTGAACAAATTATTAATGTTAACACCTTCATGAAAGCAGTTCAGAAATTTATTTCTGTCTCCAGATTAAATATTGCATCACAGGAGAGTTTCATACTGCAATAGGACTTCATACTAATGAAAGTGAAGCCATATGAGAACACAGCTTTCTCACTTAGCCTTAAGCCTAAAGACAGATGTTTGTAACAGTCTACAAAATATATTGACAGTATTATGAAAGTATCAATTACTAGCACAAAACCCTAAGTACTAACATCTGATATGAATACATGAAGTGATGTTCAAACTGAATTGGGCTGTTCTTGTTCAAAGTTGGAATCTACAATCTCTTACAGGAGGTAGATAAGAGGTTTTCACTCACTCCTCCACACAAGCAAGGTCAGCTGTCCCACCAACTACTGGGTGAGTGGGCAACTATATAAAATTGAGCACCAGCCCTCCCAGTACCCACTCCACCAGCAGCCCAGCAAACCACCAGAGCATCCCACAGCTCCCACACCGGCACCATGCACTGCACAATGCTGAAATGGCAATACCAGTGCTCCTTGCCAAACAGCAGCACAGCCAATTCAGGTTTTGTGTGAGACTTTTCTGATGTATGACATTGCTCACAGCCACTGTCAGCTGTTCCAGCAGTGTAAGCACTGAACAAGCCTCATGTGTTTACAGTGGTGATTCAAGACAAACAGGCTTTCCTGAGGGGCTCAGGAGAAGATATAAATGCTGTTCTTGAAGCCCTAGTTCAGCAGAGAATCTGAATTTAGTCCCATTGGGAAGGCATTAAACATTTGCACAAAAGAAAAGTGAACTCTCCATTATTTTCCCGACATTTTGGCAGCACATGAATGGTAGGAGAAACTTACAAAATGTGAATTAAAACCTTTGTAACCACTCCTGCAACAATGTGATCATGCTTCTAAGTCATTCCCTGCTGGTCATCCAAATGGTTTCTGAGCTGACAAATAAGACCATTTCACAAAATCATTTCCTAAATCAGACCAGATTGAAACTTGCCTGTTATTTCCTTCGAACAACTTACTCATTCACTCAGACTTCTATCTTCAATTTATTCATCTCTCAATATCATAAGTTATATATGTCCATCTCCCAGAATGGATGGACCACACTTCGTGCCTCTCAGTAATCACTCTGATTTTCAAATGAAAAGGAACCATTTCTATGACCACAGAAGATCTTGCATGGCATGTGAAACTTCTTGAAACAAAAGGTCACAGAACCGAAAAGTAATTATAATAGGTTTTAGTAGTGGTTTTAATTTTTTTGTTGCTATACCATATATATTTACTTATATATACTTGCCTCTAACAATTTCTAAAAATAAAATGAACATGAAAACCAATTAGGTTCATAAAGAAAATTGAAGGAAGGGATATTAAATGAAAGAGTAAATTAAAAAAACAATCACACAAAATTTTGTACTGCTAAAATATATGTTGCTCTGAGGTGGTTCATTTCTGGAGTTGGTCACTGATCCAGTCTTTGAGGATGCCTAGCAATCCTATAAACTGCTAATACACTAAACATTGATTTACACACACACCAAAAATATTCAAACCACAGTCATTTCCTGGATTATATGTGAATGGGAGGTTACTGGATCAGAAGAATCAGCCTCAGGGCAGCACATACATTAATTATATTTCTTTTTTAAAAAAAGGAAGAAAATTAACAAGAAAAAAAGAGATTACATTTCATTTCCAGAATTAAATATTGAAATCAAGGGGATATGTAACTAGCCAGCACAACCCATTCTCTTGAAAAAAAATGAGTCAGGTACAAACTTGTTGTATACTGGAAGAACTTGCTGACCTTTGCCATTGATCTGAGTACACACAGCTAATGATGCTGAGTTGTTTCCACAGCATGAGGCAATTATATATGTAAACCTAGAAGAACATTTAGTTCATCTTGAGTACACTAAGTATTTACATTCTTTTGAGTCTCCTTTTACGTTGATCAATTAAAGATGTCTGTGCTTGGGTGACAAGATCTGATTTTATGTCAGTGCTAGTGATTTACTCTCTGCTTCAGATCAGCCCTCAAACAAGGCTGAGCTTCTCAGCTTAAGAAGTTTCTATAGTGTGAATTCTTCCAGATGCTATTTGAATTGTGTTTTAAATCCCATTGAAAACAAAGTCTTGTTATCATCTTAGCAGAGCTGCAAATTTCCCAGGATCACTGTGAGTGTGAGATAACAAGTACAGGTGGAATGGCACAATTCAGAATGCTGAAAAAAATACTAAGGAAAAGATTCTAAAATACTGAAAATTTGGATTACAGAAATTTACAAAAAGCTAATCAAGAAGAAATACTCAGCAGAATCAAAACAATAAAAGTAAAAAAGATCCAAGAGATTTCTGCAGTATTAACTGTTTCATGTTGAAAATGGGAAATCAAGCCCAGAAATATATTGAAACTGTAACACATTACTGACTTGGCACAAAGAAAGCACAGAAAAGTGGAAAGACCAGAAACAGACAATACTTAGTACACGAATAGTCTGGTGTGAAAAAATCAAAGATGAGCCTTTTTCCTCTAGTGAGTATAGCATGAAAACTAAGAAATGACAGTGGTAGTTGTTGACTGTGGTGTGTACTTATCCTGAAGATTGCTACTTGATCTCCAGAATGTTTTCAAGCCTGATGTGAGAATTACTAAAATGACAGTGTTCTTCACAGCTGAAAGCTCAGCAGTGATCAGTTACGAGTAATGCTGTCAAACTAACACTGTCCATTCAGTGTTAAATTCAGGGACATCTTCTTTGGTCATGGAAGTACACTTGAACTATCTTTCACCTCTTCACAA